GGCAAAGTTGGCCCTCGGCCTGTTCTCCTGGTCCCACATGTCAAGAGGTGACGTGTGTCAGCCTGCTACTGGCTCTCTTTGCCGAGAGTGGCCCTCGGCAAAGTTGTCCCTCAGCCTATTCTCCTGGTCCCACATGTCAGGAGGTGACACGTGTCAGCCTGCTACTGGCTCTCTTTGCCGAGAGCGGCACTCAGCAAAGTTGGCCCTCGGCCTGTTCTCTTGGTCCCACATGTCAGGAGGTGACACATGTCAGCCTTCTACTGGCTCTCTTTGTCGAGAGCGGCACTCGGCAAAGTTGGCCCTCGGCCTGTTCTCCTGGTCCCACATGTCAGGAGGTGACACGTGTCAGCCTGCTACTGGCTCTCTTTAACGAGAGTGGTACTCGACAAAGATGGCCATCGGCCTGTTCCCCTGGTCCCACATGTCAGGAACCGCCGTCCCCGTCTGCTATCCGTTAGATACTTTATTTTGACGAGTGGTACTGTTTGACTCTCGGCAAAGTCTTTGCCGAGTGCCCTTGTTCTGACTCTCGGCAAATTCCTGTTTGCCAAAGAGGTGTACGCCGGGTGACGTTTGCCGAGGGTGACACTCGGCAAAGACTTTGTCGGCGGTTTTTGGCCCTTTGCCGAGTGTCCGTGGCACTTGGCATACATCAGAATTCCAGTAGTGACTACAAGCACTGAAGCGAGCCGAAGGTGCACTGCCGTCATCGCCCCTCCCTTGCCGAAGCCGGGCAAAACTTATTGTAGTAGACAGTCGGGAAGTTGCCGTGCTAAGACCCCATAAAAGCAATGCGGCGGAACAGAACAACAAGCGCCGCCGATGAAGAGTAGTGTAGATCGGAGGGATCTAACCTGAAGACATACCAAGGTAGATGAACTACGACTAGATCCGAGCAAATCCACCATGGACAGATCCGTTTGAGACACACCTTCACACGCCCACCGATGATGCTAGACACAACATCGGGATGGGGGCTAGGCGGGGAGAACCTTATTCCATCTTCAGGTAGCCGCGACCGTCTCGTCTTCCTGAGCAGGACACAAACCCTAATAAAACTTGAAGAAACACAAAAAACAGAGCCCTTCCGCCGGCAAGGCCCGGGATCCACCGCGCCGCCATGGCCCTAAGGCCACCGGAGACGAGGAGGACCGGCAGGAGGCAGAGGAACTCTATGATTTTCTTAGGGGAGAAGGTAAGAAGATTATTTTATGGGCACTTTCATTTTGGATTCAAAATTTTACCAACATTTATTTTGAATATGTATTTTTCTTGCATTTTTTAATCTATTTGGCAAAAAAAGATGGTAACTTTTCTAGAAAGATTAGCATAGTAGTGCTCATTTTTTAGAATTGTTTTCTGGCTTTTTTTGCGTACTTCCATTTTTTTGGGTCAACTTTTGAACAAAAAGGGGGCTGACATGGCAGCTGACTAGGATAGGTGTTCAAACGGTTGACTGGTCAAAACAGCTAATAAAAACTAGTTTAAAGAGAGGAGGGTTGATAGTTATCTGGTTTTCGGAGTTCGAAGTTGCAAAGTAGACGATTTTGATGTTCGGGGTTGTTCCTTAGACAATTTAGGGATATAATATGGACTTAGGTCTTTATCTAACGGCTCAGATTGACCCTAGCAAATCGACCGACCCAATATATTTTTTGGGGGCAACTAGCAAACATGTTCTTCAGCAGGGACGTCCACTGCTCGCAATAATTAAAGTTGGACACAGGAACAAGTCAAGCAGGGGATCATTTCGCTGTCGCAGTACCACAAGCTGATGCAATGGCGGTTTAACGTACGCTCTATTGTTTAATACTCCCTCCGTCCCATAACAGGCAGTTCACGGGGTTCACATCACAATCCAATCAGTCACGCCGATACAAAACTGTGTTCTTTGGTCTGTTGCAAAACACCACCCAGACAAATCGCTTTGGCTGCTGATTGCAGTTCTTTATCTGCATCAAGACGAGGAACTTATCTGATAATATACTATACAGTACGAGTACATGCATGATCTGCAGAGAATCTGGCCAAGATGCACAGTACGAGTATATACTAGTATATAGTATTTGCCCATGATCTGGTCATGATGTGCAGCTTTCGGCCGTGCAATTTGTTATGGGTTATCTGAACCTGTGGTGTTTGCTTCTAGTAGGGCAGTGAGCTGGCTTAGCAGATCTTTGACTCGAATTTCTGTTGGTGTCGTTCTCGTCTCTTAGCTAGTGTCCGAGGCTTGCTGATTGGCGCTTCGTTTTCCTTGAACCTACCTCACCTACCGTGGTTGAAACGGAGGGGCCATTTCAAAGGTTCAGAAAAATCGACCGCCCTGCTCCGTTCGTTCCCAGTTGGTTTTGCACGAAGGAGAGGAACAACAGTTTCAGGTCTGCACTACTCTCTCGACCGGCATTCTAGTGCCGGTGACTCAGCGTGCTTGCGATTCCTCGTCGACGCGCGGGCACGGGGGCGCGGCACGTCGGCACGGGCACGGTCGAGCCGGAGACCGGGCTGGAGCTGCGCGACGCGGCCGTTGCTTTCAGTTTCAGCCAGTGGATGGCAGCGTCCACCAGACCACCACCGATGCCGTCCGCCGCAGCCTCGCGCGATCCACAGGATAGAAGATTCCGGCTGCCTCCCCCGGCGCGCGGGTGGGACTGGACGGGACGGGCCCCGTCGGGTTTTGTCCCCGTGTAGTGTAAAATCCGTCGCTGTCGCGCTCACCAAGCACACGGGCGTGCAAGTGCGAATCCCGAGACGCAATGAAGCGCCACCGCTATATATACACCGGCGCGGCGCATCAGACGGAGCAGGCTTCAAAGCAACAAAAGCTAGAGGCGCCCGCGCCTCCTCCCTGCGTGGCCGCTCTCTCCTGCTCCGTCTCTCTCGCTCCACTCACTACTTAGCCCAGAGCTCGCCCGTCGTTGCGCTCTCTCTCTCTCTCTCTCTCTCTCTCTCTCTCTCTCTCTCTCTCTCTCTCTCTTCTCCTTTGGCACTCTGCTACCTCGATCCAGGAAAAGAAATTCCGCGTCTCCTGCCCTCCTGTAGCTGGTGCGTTCCTTCATTTCCCCCTGCCTGCCTTTTGTGTGCGTTCACATTTCTCCATTTGCTACGCAGATAAGTTTTGCATATAGGAACTAGGATTGATTGAGTACCCATATATGTACTTTACTGCTTTGCAGTTTTGATGTTAAAACTTCGTAATGATAGAGGGGCTGCATATGCATCAATTGATGCACGGGCAGGGCGTTTTCCTTCCTTCTAGACAAGAAATATTGTAAGGCTGGTCATAATGGGGAGTAACATATACTAGTATCATGCATATGATACTAGTGTATGATACTATATCTATAGTGCATAATAACATAAAGTAGTATCATAGATGGTCTTATTTATTGACATGCATGACACATAGTAGCATAACATTTATTATGTTACAGTATCTACCTATGTTACTAAGGCCATGCTTGGATCCAAGGGACTATTTTTAGTCTGACTAAAACTAGTCTCTTTTAGAGGCTAAAGTTCCAATCACCCCTGACTAAAGAGAGGCTAGCACTAGTCTTGAGACTAAAAAAATTTAGTCAGGGGAACCCTACTAAAATGTGGATTAGTTCTCTCTCTCCTCATTTAACTCCTCTCTTTTAACACATGCGAGGTCGGGATTGGAGGGTTTGGAGGATAGTAAATGCTCATTAACTCATTTTAGTCTATTTAGTATTTGTATCCAAGCATGAGTGAGGCTAGCAAGTTTTAGTTATGGGACTAAAATGTATCCAAGCACCCTCTAATACCCTCTCTCTCTTCTTTAATTGACTGCCACATAAGCATGTTTGCGAGTCCCAAGTACATGATACTAGTTATGTTACCCTTACTATGGCCCAGCCTTATACTCTCTCGGTCTCAAAATAAGTGTCGTTGATTTAGTACAAAGCGACACTTATTTTGGGACGAAAGAAGTAGAAAGTATGCACCCACACACATATATAGCCCAGTGATAAAGCAATATGTACAAGGTCCCACGTTGAACGCTTCATGGTTCTAACCCGTGACGGAGCTAGAGGGTGGACCTGAAATTTTTCAATAGCCCTTGTATCATAGAAAATGATTTAAAATTTTAAAATAAATATATTTATATGAACATTTTCATTGTTGGCCCACCCTAGCCCATTAGGCTAGATCCACCACTTGTTCTAGCCAGCACTACTAGGAGTGATTCTCAAAAAAAAAAAAAAACTAGTAGTACTATAAGTATGGACCCATGTATGTATCTCAATTTAATCATAATAATGCTGTATTGCTTTTTGGTGCATTTCTTGATTCATATCATGTACTCTGATTAATTTTCCTGGGAAGCGGTAATCCTCCACATGGACATTTTTCGGGGGTGAGAAACACATGGCCATATTGTTAATTATCGTAGAATAGCTCTTCTGAACAAAGAGAAGTAGAGAACAATGGAGAAATATTGCTGCGACTGGTTAGGGGTATTGGACAGAGGAATCAGCATTCCATACGCATGGTTCATGTCGCTGACAGTGACCTGTTAGTGTACATCAGTACTTGACAAAACATAGGTTAGCTCCATGCCAAGATGATGCATGCAGAAAGCGTGGAACTTCGCCCGTTTGGAGATCATGTAGTAGAGTCTCGCCGTGCACCCTGCACCGTTCGATCGTGTGTGGTCGGCAACGATCTGCTGTTGATCCAACTGCAGGCACCAGAACTCGCATTTCGCCGTCGTGTGACGCAATACTAGACAACGGCCATAAGTTTTTTTTCCTTTCTTTTTTGACCGAAGAAAATGGTCACATGTGACAACGGTAATAAGGACCTTTGTTCTGCTCCAGGAATCGAATTGTTCTGTGCGACCACTTGCTGAATGAGTCGAATGTCGACATGAAGTATGAACACATCCAAGATCCGGTTCTAGTTATCCGAGGTCGAGAGGCTGGGAAAAGATTGGGTATATCCAATTAATGTACCTGCTAAAATATCTGCATAAGTTTATGTATAAATCTGCAGTGCTTAGAAACTTAGAAGAGAGTTTGGTATTCAGAGAGTACATTTCTGTTGCTGAAGAATTAGAGCATGAGAAGACTGATATTTGCTAGGACCCTAGTCTAACAAGAACTATCTCTTTAGTAGCTTGGTCCCCACGATTGTTCGGTACAATGATTTAATTGTCTTGGAAGTCTTTTCACACTTCAATTTCCATCAACTGCAATAAAAGTACGAATACAACTATGGTGATAGCCAACTGCAAACTGCTTTCGTTCGTTTCTGGAATTTAAGCAGTGTCTACTTTTGTGGAAATATCATCTAGGCATTTATATTTTCATCAGATGCAGTAATGGGCCCAAACTAATTTTAGGATCCCTTATTTTTAGGTACACAGTATGTCAACCTCACCTCTTCAGATATATTTCTGGTGACTAATTTTTAGGATCCCTTATTTTCAGGTACACAGGATGTCAACCTCACCTCTTCAGATATATGTCTGGTGCATTCTCCTATTTGCCATTGTTGGAATATCCACATCTTTACCTCTGGAAAAAGATGCACTCCTCGACATAAAAATTCATTTGGAGGATCCACAAAATTACCTGAGCAACTGGGATGAATCTCACTCACCGTGCCAGTTTCACGGTGTAACGTGTGATGAAATTTCTGGTGTGGTCACAGGAGTATCACTCTCAAATGCCTCGCTGTCAGGCACAATATCACCATCATTTTCTGTTCTCCACCAGTTGCGTACTTTGGACCTCAGTGCAAATTCCATCTCAGGCACTATCCCTGCTGCACTGACCAACTGCACAAATTTGCAAGTTCTTAATTTGTCAGTGAACAGCTTGACAGGCCAATTGCCTGATCTTTCATCATTGCTCAAACTGCAAGTTCTTGATTTATCAACAAATAGTTTTTCTGGTGGATTCCCTGTGTGGATCAGCAAATTGTCAGGCCTAACTGAATTAGGCCTAGGAGAGAACCGTTTCGATGAAGGTGGTGTTCCTGAAAGCATTGGACTCCTGAAGAACCTGACATGGCTATTCTTGGGGCAGTGCAACCTTAGAGGAGAGATACCAGCTTCAGTTTTTCACTTGGAGTCACTTGGGACCCTGGACTTCTCGCGCAATCAGATGACCGGTGTGTTCCCGAAGGCGATATCCAACTTGCGCAACCTGTGGAAGATTGAGCTCTACCAAAACAATCTGACCGGTGAAATTCCTCCTGAGCTTGCACACCTGACATTGTTGTCTGAATTTGATGTGTCTCATAATCAACTTACTGGTGTACTGCCCAAGGAAATTGCTAGCCTGAAGAATCTTAAGATCTTCCATATCTACAGGAACAACTTCTATGGTGAGCTTCCTGAAGGACTGGGGAACTGGGAGTTTCTTGAGTCATTTTCAACTTATGAAAATCAATTCTCAGGAAACTTTCCTGCCAACCTTGGCAGATTCTCACCACTCAATACAATTGACATATCAGCGAACTATTTTACCGGTGAATTTCCAAAGTTCCTGTGTCAAAGCGACAAGCTGCAGTTCTTACTGGCTTTGAGCAACAACTTCTCAGGTGAATTCCCCAGCTCTTACTCTTCTTGCAAGACTCTAGAGAGGTTTAGAGTAAGTCAAAATCAGTTCAGTGGGAGCATTCCTCATGGCATATGGGGATTGCCTAATGCTGTGATCATTGACGTTGCTGACAATGGATTTATTGGAGGAATATCTTCCGATATAGGCATTTCAGCCACCCTAACCCAGCTGCTTGTTCAGAACAACAATTTCTCTAGTGAACTTCCAATGGAGCTGGGAAATCTCTCTCAGCTGAAGAAGCTGGTTGCTTCCAACAACAGATTCTCTGGCCAAGTCCCTGCACAGATTGGTAACCTGAAGCAATTGTCATACCTGCATTTGGAGCAGAATGCACTGGAAGGGTCAATACCACCAGAAATTGGTTTGTGCAACAGCCTAGTTGACCTTGATCTTGCAGAGAATTCTTTGTCTGGCAAAATTCCTGACACAGTTGGCTCCCTTTTGATGCTGGATTCACTCAATCTATCCCACAACATGATCTCTGGTGAAATCCCTGATGCATTGCAGTCACTGAGGCCAACCTATGTTGATTTCTCTCACAACAATTTGTCTGGACCAATCCCCCCACAGCTCCTGATGATTGCCGGAGATGATGCATTCTCTGAAAACTCTGACCTATGTGTCACTGACACTTCAGAAGGGTGGAGGCAATCTGGCACCAGTTTACGCCCTTGCCAATGGATTGACAACCACCATAGCTTCTCACGGAGGCAGCTTTTTGCTGTGCTGATCATGGTGACCTCTTTGGTTGTTCTCTTATCTGGATTGGCATGTCTGAGGTATGAAAATAACAGGCTTGAGGATTTCAACAGAAAGCAAGACACCGAGAGTGGTGATAACAGTGACTCAAAGTGGATTGTCGAGTCCTTCCATGTGCGAGGGCTCAATCCATCAGCTGCTTTGCCGGTACCCGTTGTTACATAGCTCGCTGTAAGTTTGAGACATCCTGTCACTTACATTGACTTATCTTTACATCTTTTTTGTAGTTACTAATGCTGTAACGGTTTAGCATTTAGTCTTCTGTGTAAGTACTGTAGAAAATATTTTGCCAGTGCTACCCAAACTCAGCTACTCTATTATTCATCTTGTCCTGTCCTGGTAAATAACGCCGTCTAATGAAGCGAATAACTAACTATTTAATTTGACTATTAAAGCAGTATAATTGATGTAGTATCTGTCACTTGATATCAATATCTGTTAAATGGATGCAGTTTGTCTTTTAAGTTCTCCATAATGTCCTTACACGTTTTGGTATCAAGTCATTAAAGTAGACCTATCCATGTATATTTGAGTAGTAACATTAACAAGTGAAATATTACTTACTCTTTAGATGCATATAAATACACCTTAAAGATAGCAGTCTGAAGATTCAAGTCTTACATCAGCTTATCTCTGAACTGCAGAGCTTCCATATTCTCTAAAGGCGAGAGAAAAGAGTGACATGAGCTCTAGTGTTGCGCCGTCAGAGTTTCTTAGTGGACGTAGCCGGACAGACTACCAGTTTGAAGGTGAACTGGAAACTGTGTCCGGGGTTTGATCACATAACTTCAGCGGCTTGATCTAAAAGCCGGCAGCTATGCATCAGAAGATATAATAAAGGTCTTGAACATTGCCATCGTCTGAATTACTCGAGCCCCTTCTGAGCGACCGGCGATGAGAGAGGTTGTGAAAATGCTTATTGACATTGATTCTACTTCCGTATTCGGAGGGCAAAGAACAAGAATAATAAGTAAAAGCAGGTTACCTTTTCTTTGTAAGATGCCACCATCAACAAGATGAGGACCTTTACACTCAGAATAGCAACAACACTCTGAAGTAGGAGATTAGAATGTACTACTAGTGAGCTGGAAGCAAGTAACTAGCAGGCTGTTAATAATAATCTGGAGGTGTAGTAGCCTCTGGTAGCCTCATAGGTCTTGTTTCTGCAGCAGTTTCTGTATAAATTCAGTCATATAGCTTGCAGTTTCTGTAAAAATGTTAGATGATAATTTACTGTACTACTGTTAGATAATGATGAAACATAGCAGCGTAGTCCAAATTCGACTACTTTGAATGGGCTCGATTTGATCAAAAGCAGCATGTCCACACAGTACTTCCTATTTCACATGTTAGTCATTCTTGCAAGTTTATTTAGAGAGGTAGTAGAAACAGGCCAATGGGTCATTACAGCCGATCCAGCTAAGCTGTTAGCTCCAAATCTTCGCGGAACTGATCGGATATCACATCCCGATACGTGGACATCAGAGAAAAATGATACGATACAGTACAGAGACTCAGCCTACAGATTCAACCGCTATTCTACAAAGTCTTGTACATCCTCTAGCTGACAGTTTTGAAAGGGGTGGAGACCTTGAGGCTATCCACGATGTCACTCACAGAGCCTATCCCCACTGCCACTGAGATCATCAGGCAGACCATGCTCAAACCTTGCAGGAGATACCACTTCGTCCCCTTGGTGATCTTCCCCTGGGCAATGTGCATGCTTATGGGGAAGTACACAGTTAGTGGCCAGAAGCTGAACGCGCCGAGGAGCCCTAGCACCGCGTTGAAGAATGGTATCATCATTGCCACCACTGTTGTTGCAATAACTATGACGGTCCGTAAGACGAGCTTGTAGGGCGCGACGGTCACCGAGCCTCGTTGCATGAGCGGGATGCTAACGGTGTATGCACTGCTGATGAACTTGGTGTCTGGCCACCTGGAGACAATCCACCTCTCTGCTGTAGCGAATATGGGCTGTGCATAGACCTGCATTGAGGAAAACATTTTAGTTCAAGCTGTCGAACAGTTCAGCTGCAAGGCTCACTTCAAGCAGTTCAGCTTTTCAAATTTATGGGATATGCAGATTCTCAATTTATGATTGAGATGTACTGACCTGATACGCCCCAATCAGGTGGAGGATGAGGCACATGTTGGCGATGTCGACGAGCCAGAATGGCCCTAATCCGGGGGCCGTCAGGATGTTGCCGGGAGCATCTGAACCAAATGCGGCATATCCGGCGCAGCCAACAGAGATGTAGAATATGGTGGTGGCTCCAATTCCATACATTGCTGCCTTCTTCATGGTCTTGTGCTCAGATGGTGGGGACTTCAGCGTATCCTGAAAACAAGCAAGAAGTTACTGACAAGATCACTGCCACTTGGAGTAATATTCTGAAACAAAAATCCTTCCTAATTGACGTGTCATTCAATTCAGAGTTCTGAACAAACATATCACTTCTGGAAGTTAAGAGTATCTGAATCATCATCATCCATGCCTACCTGGATCTCAATCAGCACTTCTGCGAAAGTGTAGGCAAAGGCAATGTTCCCAAGGGCAAGGAGCACGTCCCACGTCTTTTTGCTGGACGACGCCGCAGTGGCGCCTGCGATCCTGCCGTCCGGTCGGAGGCCGTGCGACGCCCACTCCGTCACCGAGAGCGCGAGCCCGATGAACGAGTAGGCGAACGACATGACCGCCGCGACGACCGAGAGCCACGTGATGTGCTCCAGGCCGGGGAACTGGGACAGCACCACCTGGACCACGGTGAAGGCCAGCATGAGCACGGTCCCCGGCGCGTCGCAGCGCGCGCCCTGGCCGTTCTCGTGCACGCAGTCCGACCTCCTGATCGCACTTCGCAGGCAGAGCACACAAAGAGAAAAAGAAAAACAGGATTCAGCATGTCCCTGAATGATAATAAATTTGTCATAGTTTGATTCGTGATGAGGAGGTGGACTGAATTTTGGTTGTTAGTTTGATGATACTCACACCATGCTGATGGTCGCGGTGATGGTGTAGCCGACCATGGTGCCCCACAGGTTCCCGTACTGGGCGATCCCGCACATGAAGACCTCTCTGGGACCTGGGGAAAAGTTTCAGGCATTGGGTTGAGAACCTTCTGGTGCGCGTGTGGAGGAACAGAGAGAGGGGGAGGGGTTGGCTGGCGGGGGCCGAACGTACTGAGGTAGGATCGGACGGCGTCGGTGTAGGTGTGGTTCCGGGCGCCGGTGACGGGGTCGGGCGCGCGGTAGGCGTTGGCGAGCAGCGTGGAGGTGTAGTAGGTGACGCACGCGAAGCCCACCAGCGCGAGCGGGCCGGCCACCCATCCCAGCTGCGCCACGCTCCACGCTAGCGCCAGCACGCCGGAGCCGATCACCGCCGTCACAATGTGCGCCGTCGCCGTCCATACCGTCCCTGCAACGAACAAGAAAAAAAGACCGCCGCCGCCGCCGGGGCCGATAAATCCAGTCCCCAGGAGGAATAGTCGTGTACGCTAAAGCCGTTAAACAAACGCCCCTATAAACCAGGCAAAAAAAAATCGAGAGGAGGGGCAGCGCACCTTTGCGCTCGTGCTCGCCCGTCTCGACGTCCTCTGCTGCTGCGGCGGCGGCGGCGTCGGCGGCGGCGTGCTTGTCCATCTTCTCGCCGCGTGGCGTGGCGTGAGGGGGTGGGAGTCAGAGGGGCGGATGCGGTAATGAACCCACCAGGACGGGGGTTTGGTCGGTACGTATTTATAGGGACTCCGAGCAGAGTTGGGGCTTTAAACCGGCGCTCTCATGATAGGGTCGGCACTCTGACCTGTAAAACACCGGCATTCCAGGTTCAGCGCCGTCGGACTACATTGGGCAGGGTTCGGATCCAATGCCCCGACTCATTAAACCCAAAACCTCGAAAGTGCACGCGCACTAAATGGAGAGAAGGAGCGGCCGAAGCAGAGCCGCTCGATCTCGTCCCGATCGACGGCGCGGGGTGTCCAGGTGTCCCCTGGTCGGGTGGTGGAGCCGCCCCGCTCTGACCCGCGCGTGGACCGGTCGCCTGGTCCGATTGCGCCGCGCGCGCGCGAGATAAACCTCCCCTGGGACCCACATGTCATAGAGGATTAGTCAGTTCCCCAGCGTATTAGTCGTTGTGCGTAGTGGTCGGCGGTTTCGAATTTCGTGTCATTACCCCGTCCATCCGCCACCTATCGCGGCCCATTCCCCCTCTTTCCCCCTTGCTTTCGCCGTTGGTTGGTGCTCGGAGGCGGTTCCAAATCCGCCGAGTTGTGTTCGACGGCGGGGCGCTCCGCGAGGGTCGTCGTCCGCGGCGGCACAGGTACTGCTCCTACGCGCGCTCCGCGTTCTTCGTCCCTACTTGTTTCTCCACTCACCCGCCTCCTTTTTTCTGGTGAGGTCGCACGTTTTCCGGTGAGGTCGCGGTCATTGTCAGGGAGGTCGAGGTAGAGGTCGAAGTCGAGGTCGCGGTCGGGGTTAGGGGGGTCGAACTCATTTTCCGGCGAGGTTGAGATCACCCCCGCAGACTATTTCGATTGGGAAACCGCCGGATTGGCAAGGGTGGGCTAGGGTCATGCTCATCCCGTCGTTTTTGCGTTGCAATAGGGGGAGAACTCGTGCATATACATACGGGATGAGTGGTTCAGGGAGGATGAGTGGTTTGCGGCGATAGAGCCTCGTCTGTGGATTGTAGCCTCGCGGTGTGCAACTCTGTTGCCCCTTGCGTGCAAATTAGGAGCAGTAGTAGACAATTTTTGAGATAATATAGCCAATGTGCCAGCCTTGTGGTGGTTCTGCTGGGTCATGTGTTTTTCCCTGTTGTGTGTAATTACGGACCATTACTTGTGCAAATTAGTACTTATGCTTGCCAATTTCCCAACATTCTCTGACCAAGCTGCCAACCTTTGTGATTGATCTGGTGGTCCGAGTGTTTTCCCGCTGCCGTGTGCAAGTAGGAACCCTTGTTTGTGCAATTTAGCATCAATGCGTGCCAATTTTTGCAATATAGTCTACCCAATCTGCCAGCCTTGTGGTGGATGTGGTGGTCCACGTGTTTTTATTCGGCTGTGTGCAAATAGATATCATCACTTGTGCAAATTAGTATCAATGGTTGACAATTTTCCAATATAGTCTACTGATTTTTCTGCCAGCCTTTGTGCTGAATCTGGTCGTTCATGTGTGTTTCCCCTGCCTTGTGCAATCAGGCACCCTTGTTTGTGCAATTTAGTATCAATGCTTGCCAGTTTTCCAATATGGTCTACCCAATCTGTTAGTCTTGTTGTGTATGTGGTTGTTCATGTGTGTTTCCCCTGTTGTGTGCAACCAGGGACCATTATTTATGCAAATTAGTTCCAATGCTTGCCAGTTTTTTGGATTGGGCATCTTCTTGCCTTAGTGAAAGTAGTTGGCTTATAAGCTGTGCAGTTGCATAAGGCGGACTGCCCAGTTGGCTGCATCACTGTAGTAGTTGGCTGTCCTCATGTTTTACAGTTTTTTTTGCACTAGGTGCCCTGCTTATGTGTAGAGGTTTGCAGATCAAAGCAAGCTTTTATGTTTTCTCTACTTCATTTGCGCATCTTCTAACTATGTTTTCTTTCTTGTATTTCCCCCATAGGCTAAAAATGGTTAATAGGAGGAGAAGCTGATGGCAATGAAGGAGATGTATTTTTCTCATTTTTTTCTGCATATTTGAGTTGTTTTCAACTTATCCATGTATGCTTATGTCCCTTTTTTCATGTTTTTTTGGTTGCTTAATTAGGGTTTCGAAAGTCAGTCCCTTCGCCG